AAAGGACAAACTGAATCAATAGAAGAAACTGCATCTCATATGGATGGAAATAAAACTAGAAGAGGTTAAAGGGGGAAAACAATGACAGTGTGAGAACGCTTGTATCCAGATTTCCATTGAGGAACGTCAGAAACGATTAGATCGACCTGGTGAGAATGCCCATCAGAATGGAGGTCAAGGCAATGACAGACCCTAAGTACAGTATGTGCATTAACAATCAAGCACTCATTATTTCTTACATAACCATGTTTATTGAAAGACATCTGGCTGTAAGCCATTCCTACAGTATGTCAGTTCCACCTGACACTGATATACTGTATGGTACAGTAGGCATTCAGCACAACTGTGTTGTGTACAGTTCTGTTCACCATGTTATAGACAATATATTATTACTCAGGAATCAAGCCGGTGAAGAACAACCAGATACAGTACATTTTAGGGCTGAAGTGAGGGATCTACTCTGAAGAAAATGAACTTTTTCAGTCTTGAACAGAGAAGACTATGAGAAGACCTCAAACCAAAGACCTCCAAATATTCGATTCCTATAAGACATTGACAAAGTCACCCCAGCAAGAAGTGGAAACTACACAGACGTACAGAAGTGCATTTAAAAAAGATGAACAGGAAGCAATTCTATAGGCATTGTAGGAGTATGTACCGATACCCTGAATAATTTCAGGAAAGGGCTGGATGAGATCCTTAGGTCAATTAACTACTAACTGGCTAGATAGGCTGAATGACCTCCTCTCATTTGTGCCTGTTCTTATATGCAATACATGTTTGTTTAAACTGAAGAAAATAAAAAAAAATGCTCTTAACCACATGGTTTAAAATGTTCAATTGTACTGAATGTTGTGGTATTCTGGCTAACCCTATAATTCTATACTGTGTAGGTGAAACAGCTTCAGCAGCAATTGCCTTCTGAAAATAAAACCTCACTTTAGAATGTGGTTAAATCTGCTAACTCTATCAGGCAAGGAAGATTTTACTTCACTATACACTTACAATTCAATCGGCAAAGGATACAAGATGTTCAAATGGGCTGAGGCCCATGACGTTAACGTCCTACATACAAGGGCAAGTAATCACACAGGTCATGCCTTCAAGTCACCAAGAATATTTTTCATCTAGTGCAATACAGGACTATGTCAAATACCTTGCACATCTGCCAGTGTAGTGGAATAACATCTAATCCATATTGCATGTAAACTATGTTCCCCAACTAGTTTGTTGTAATGAAAGACTTATTCTCTTATTTATTAATGCAATAGTGCAGCTGCAGTGATTATTCAGTATTTTCATCTAGTACCATTGAAGATAAGATACTCTGCATTTGCAGTATTACATTATTAATTGCATCATTGTTATCACATTATGAATTGCAAGCCCAGGTTGTAAAGGATATTAAAAATGCCAAGTCAGAGATAAAATGGAATTTTGAAGTACAGTCTAAAATTAATTATAAAAACTTCTTTCAGTGCTACAGCACCTAAAGAACTGTAACGGATTAACTAAAATGGGACAATAATGGGAAACTTCTAACTGATGAAAGTGAAATAACTGGTACACTCTGAGTATTTCACTCAGGTGTTTGAAAAGGAAGAAATCAACAACATATTAAACAGTATCAGCACAGAACAGGGAAACGTTTGTTGGGTACTAGATTAATAATTTAAGATTAATACATTTCTAGAACCGGATGGGTCTAAGGAAAGTAAAAGTCTCATTAAGCCATTGACACAACTATTCCAACAGTAGCTCAAGACAAGAATAGTACTGTACTTATGAACAGGGAAATTGCTAACGTAGTTCCCTCCATTAAAGATAAAAAACTGGACCACATAATGATAGACCATAATGTCTGATGTCTATTACATGTGCCGTTAGGAAAACAATATAATTAAAAGTAAAGTAAAAAAGAACTAATAAAAAAACGAATGGCAAAAGAAAAGGTGGAAGCAATTAAGGAAAAGGGGGGTTTTGGAATGAAAAATGGGTAAAAGAAAATAGTACAGATAAGGAGTGAATGGTAAAATGGTGGTGATATAATTGAAGAAAGATATAAGATGTGAACTAAGGAAAGATAAAACCAACCATTAAAAGTGTTCAAGGTCTTGGGAATGTCCAAACATAGGGGGCCCCCAATTACTATGGTAACAATTTGCGTCAGAAGCGGGTGAAATTTGCTATATAAACTGGAAGTTTTGTACCTGTATTTCGAACAATACTTTGGTCTTATTGTTCCTTGCATGCAATAAACTCAGGTACTCAAACTTCATCTCAGGTTCTAGAACTTATTTGTCTGTTACTACAAATTAATGGAGCACCTCAGGGATCTATACAAGGACCACTGCTGCACTGAATTTATATCAGTGATGTAGATTCTGATATACTGTAGTAAGGGAACTAGTCATAACAATATAAGAAGTTTAGCAAACATTGTAGAGGCAGAGAAAGGACTTCAACATTTTTATAAAATTTAAGAAAACACCTGAAAGATGACATTTAATTTAGTACAATATGTTGCATGTGGGAAGTAAAAACATAAACTACTGTATATACAAAATGGGAAACACTGAGCTAGAAGAGACTAGTTATGAAAAAGACTTGGGTGTTTATGTTGATACAGTACATCATCTTCTTATAGTGTGGGGAAACTATAAAAAGGAAAAGTGTCAGTACATAAAGAAAAAGTATGTAATTTAAATCAAGGGAATAGTATGTTAAAAGTGTACAGTATTTGGCACTAGTAAGACCACATTGTAAGTATATTGTCCAATTTTGATCATCACATTATAAAAAGATATTGTTGCTGTGGAAACAGTCAAGGAAAGAGTAGCAAGATACATTCTGAGGCTTAAAGGAATGTCCTGGCTGAAGGAACTGAACATTTTTAGTCTTGAAGAGACCTCATCCAATTATTCAAAATCTTCAAAGGCATTAAAAAGTCAACCATCCAATTTCTAAATGATTATCTAATTTGAGATTATGGGGCAGCCGGAGCCTATCTTGGCAAGCAACTGGTACAACACCCTGGATGAGATGCCAGTCCTACGCGGGTCACACACAAACTTATACTCACACGTAGGGCCAGAATGTTTTTCACACACTCAATTAACCTACCCATGTTTTGGGACTGCTGGAAGAAACTGAAGCACCTCAAGCAAACCCACACAAGCAAAGGGGGAATATACATTCCAATTTCACACAGGTAGCACTCCAGATCCAGATTTAAACCCAGGGTTCCAGCTCTGTGAGGAAGCAATGCTACCCACTGTGCCACTGTGCCACCCGATGTCTTCAACAGTTGAATACAAACCAGAGGATACAAGTGGAAACCACTGTCCTTGGAAGTGCATTTGGGTGTATGGAGAACAGAAGCCACTTCTTGTCATGTCATTTACCAAACCGCTTTATACCAGACGGTGTTGCGGTGTTGGAGCCTACCCAGAAAGCAACGAGCGCAAGGCAGGGTACACCGTGTACGGGGCGCCAGTCCATCCCAGGGCAAGTGCAAGCCAATGATATATGAGGACAATTTCGATGCACAGTAAAGGCGGGGATGTTTGGCCCAGACACTGGGATAACTCCCTACTCTTGTCGAGAAATGCCTGTGGATCCTTAATGACCACTGAGAGTCAGGACCTCGGTTTAACGTCTCATCCAAAAGATGTTGTGCCCACTACAGTATAGCATCCCCGCCACTATACTGGGTATTAGGACCCACACAGACCACAGGGTGGGCTCCCCACGTAGGTCCCACTAACACCACTTCCAGCTGCAAACATAGCTTCTCAGGAAGACTCCCATCCAGGTACTGAACAAGCTCAACCCTGCTTAGCTTCAGTGGGTAGCCAGTTGAGAGCTGCAGGGTGATATGGCTGCTGGCAGCACTTCTTGTTTGTATACTAATTCCAAAACATCTTGTCAGTGCTGTCAACACTGACAAGATGCATATCTGGATGAGTCAATCACCAGGTTTAAATCCAACTGGGTGTGCATTTTTAGTTGCCAAAGAAAAAAGTGAAGTGGGACACCCCCAGGAAAGAACTCAAAGTCACTGCAGCTAAGTCTTGGAAAGAATCTCAAATTATTACACACAGGAACTGTTAAAACATTAAGTGTGGTGAGCTCAATGGGTCACATACTGTAATTCATGCAGTTACTGCCTCAACGAGACTATCCAACAAAATATTGCCAGTGTGTCCCAAGACTGTCCAATGGAGCAGTAATGGTTACTGCGATTAGGCTTATTTTAGTACAGTAGATATACTGTAGAAAGATTAAACAACTCCATCTATGCTCACATAGCTTCCGTAAAGAATTCCATCTGGGGCTATTTAAATAGTAAAAATGCTACCGCTTTCCATGCTACGTCCTTCGGGTCCAATCTGTTTGCTTGTTTTGCTGGGTAGCACGCACGACTAATGATGTCTGAATGGTTGCAGTAAGGAAATAAAGAAGGCGGGGGAAGGACCCTTGTTTTTCGAGAACGTGTGTACTGGTAAACGAAACATCAATGTCAGCTATGATCCTGCTCTGCCAAAGTGCGTAAGATTGCTTTTAAACCAATTTTCAAGTTTTTACCCAACATAAACGTGGCTTGACTGAGAAGTTTTTTTTCCCCATTGTAACACTTTCTATCACCGAATGCTCAGTGCCATTTTTCAAAATCACAAATCATGTGCCCCCCCAAAAAAGCCAGAAAGGAGGTAGATTTTTCAGAATGATAGTTTCCGTTTAACCTTTTAATTCCTGGGTTCTATGCATCCACATTTGTTTCCTAAACTCCTAAATCACAACTCACCTCCTCTCTCATGTATTGTAAATGTTTCTGTATTCACAAATTGTCTGTTCCTGCTGCCTCGTGAATTAACCGAGTACTCAGTATTTATTTTTCTTGGGAAAAAAATAATATGACGCTGATGAATCAGTTGATGAATCAGATTTTATATAAACAAAAACAGAAGCTGTCTTCTCAGTATTCAACCTTTAAATTAAGCTCAAACAAATAAAATGAAAGCTGGACTGGACCGCATCTTCTCACACCCGCTGTGCTATGAACATACACTCTGCGTCGTCTTCACTAACCATTGTTTTTAGTAAGAGAAAAGGCGAACTGGGCTCATTGCTAAAGGGGCAATCGATGAAGACGTAAAAGGTGCTTGAGCACGAAAATTAGAACGGGTTGCAAAGAAAGTCACTTGAAAAAAAAATCTTAAGCCATTCTCCTGCCACGACAAATACGACGAAAATGCATTATACATTATTGTCTCCGAGCATGGTTACTTTGTGAAAAGAAGGTTTTAAAATTTCCGCACTGTCTGTGGCTGTTACCTTAACAAAGAATGAACTATGATCAAACTCAGCCACTATCACAGGAAAGGAGGTTGGAGGTGGAGGTTTTGAAATAACAGCTGAAACAAGTTCTCCGTTTTGTATATCCGCTATTCAAAAGTGGATCTGTCCATTATCATTAAGGGATGGTGTTGCTGCTTTGATCAAGAAACGCAGGAGCTGGGTTAACAGCCGTTCAAAGCAAAAAAAAAAAAAAGGCGTATATATTTGCAGTGTTCATCCCACCGTTGTCGAAAGGGGAAAGGACAAGCGAACTACACATGGGGCTGTTAGTGGTCAACAATAACCAGAATGCTTCCCTCGAAGAGGAAACAATAGGAGCTTGCGATTTCTAGACTCATTCTGCTGGGATTCTTCACGCTTAGTGCTTTTTCCACGTGAAGAAAGTGGGTTCCTTTCCACCACAGAAGGTAAGAATTTCTAATGACAGATTTTTATGACATGTTCACGCTTTTTTGTTTTTCCTCGTGGCTCCTGTGATTAAAGTTGCTACTTTTTGGGGGGAGGTACTCAGAAACCGCGATATATTTATCAGCAGTAGAATTAAACGAGAAATGCACAAACGGAGCAAGTTAGTTTTTTATTTGTTTCTAATTAAGCATTTTATTTGCTGTTTACTAAAACCTGCCTTTCCTCACATTGTTTATAATAGGAGACAGTCGGAAGTTCAAGTGTATTTCACGCGTCGGTTACTTGTATTTAAACTAGTACGACAACAAAGCGTGAGTATTTATCAATAAAATCAAGGACTTGAAACCCATCATTTAGATGTTAACAGCCCAGTTAAAGGTATGCATATCACCTAGGATTTCTCTGTGTTCCGTGCAGACTAAACAAAATAGTTTAATTCTCTGTTTTGCAAATGAAATAAAGGCCGTATACGACTTATTATTATTAGTTGCCTAAGCCATGCGTTTGGATACTACTCGATACTATTAGATCATATACTGTTACGGAGAATGTCACTATTAAGTGTTGCACACTGAATCAACGCTTGTCTTGGGTTTAGGTGAATTTCTGACACTTAAGTGTGCAGATACAATATTTATTAACATTAGTCTCTGGTTTTGCTTCTTATGTTAAATACTCAATTCATCAATATTGACGTAATTAGTGTCATTTCTCTAAGTGGCGTTTAGTGATGCTGACTCGGCTAGTAAATGGCCAACTGACGAAAAAGATGATAAGCAGCTGAAATATAGACTCAAGTGAGGAGAATGTAAAGATAGTATTCAAATAGTTACTTTATCTGGTACATCCCCTATAAGTTTCATAGATAACATGTAACAAAGTCAGGTTTAGGTGCAATTGCAGAATAGATACAGTACTGTACAGTATATACTGTAGACCTATACTGTAAATTTGTAAGTAATTCAAACAAGTGAGAGGAAAGCAACGTTTGGACTGACAGTGTAGAATTGACAACATTTTGCATTTGGAAAATATGAACTACAGTATGAGTTTGAGGGAATTATTTGATCCCTTGAACTTTGTTTTGGATCTCAAATTTTAAAGAGTCTTAATCTGTGAAGTGTAAGAGCAAAGCTTTACCATACATCACCATAAAAGAAGGCATTATTTTTAAATGATTCTGTTAAAAATAATGCCCCTTGAGAGTTCTTCAGGATCCGTTGCTAGTTTTCAAAGATCCTTATAAAGTGAATAAAGCACTTTGACATTTCAATGGGGATTGGGAACAGTACTCTTTTCTTTCTGCATCTGTAACATAATAGTTTTACTTCTTTGTTAACCCTTTCTTTCTATTACTTCCCTCACAAAAAACTGTTTTATCTGAACTGGTGAGATTTATTTATCTAAGGTTAGAACCAGCGAATGAAACTCTTCTTGTGTTTTGACATTTTTGTAGAACAAGATAATTCTGTATCAGCTTTACTATGATGCTTGAGAATTTCAACCAGAAACTGTAATCTACATAAATGTCCTCCCAGGAGAACTGATACAGAAAATAGTTTATGAAGACTGTACAGTACAATTTGAAAGCAAATTCTGTCACAAAAGTTTGACAACTCAGAGCGTGCAAAAGAAATGTGATACCTTTGGTAAATGAAGTGAGTGAATAGAATCATTGAAATAAATTATTCTAGAATGTGTGAAAGAAACTAAGAAAAATGCAAATAATTTATGACAGATGAAAGAACACCTTGATCGTCCATTGAGCGTTTATAACAAAAGGTGTGAATCCATGTAGTCCATATTGATTTTCTTTGATTCTTCAAGGAGTTGCCTGATGAGTTTTTTTTCCCTTCTAGCAATCGTACAGAAAAGTTGACCAATTCACGTGTTTTTGACTACGACTTGTCTCATGTTCTTTGCAGTGGATGAAAGTAATGTTACACTGCATTGCAAAGCTTTGAAGAAAGCAGATTTGTAAGTGTGCGTTAATTCCTGTCATGATCTGGGCCTTGTCAGAAAACACATCTATACTGTTCATGCAAGGGAGGTGACAACAACCTCACTCATGAACCATGTGATCAATTGACTTCGCCCCCTCCATTTTACCTTCATCACTCCACATGCCGTTGGGTGCACCATGATTTAGTTACTCAATGAAACCTCTGATGTCAGCATTGCATCAATCAAACAATGTGTCCTGCTTTCAGGGCCACTGTAAAATACAATTATAAACCTCAGTATTACAAAGTGTTCAACATTTCATGGAATGGTTTATTAAAGAAATATTGCCTTAATTTAGCTAAATCCCAAATTATGAAATGTTGGATATTTTGCTCAAGTCACTGTATTAATCTAATGAATGTTCTAGAATGTCATTAGAATAGACTCCATATACTGTACATGGGCATGTTAGTGAATAATTCTGTTCACCAAAATACTTTAACTAAGAGTATTCTTTGTTATTGATGGCGTTACATGTGAAGACACACTTGAAAATATAACTGGCAGGTCTAAGCAGAGAAGGCTTTGCAGCTGTACAGGAGATTAAGTTGGTTGAATTAAGACATGATAAACACCCATGGGGTTTACACATAGGTTACAGTATATGGTGGTATGCCATGTGATGAAAGTAAAATATAAATATGCTTAAAACATTTATCATTATTGAATTCATCTTTAGTCTATCAACAAAACGAAGGCAGCAATGTATTTTAAGCCTTTACAACCCCTGTCAGACCTTGGTAGCTGACAGTGGCTATTGATCTTTTTGAAAGCTGTTTTTTATTACTTAAATTCCTGGCTTGAGGAAAATATTTCATTCTAACAAGTGCAGCTAGATTCTATAATTTGTTCTCACAGATTTCCAGTCTTATTTCATTGTTGTCTCCTGATCCATCTGCAGTGAAAAGGATGTCTGTATCATGCTTTACATGAAACAACAAGACTTTTGCTTTTTAATTCATTACAGCTATGTAGTAAAAACGTCATTTGACTTATAAATTGTATAGGGCAAACATGCAAAGAACGTATAACAGATGTAAAAAAATCACACAATAAATGTACCAAATAAAACCAAGTAAATAAAGCATTATTATACATTAAAAGGTATAGTAAACAGATCCTTCCGTTGTATACAGTAGGTCAGATTTAAAATGTCCACAGTAGCAGAATGTGTAATGGAATTGGGCACTGAGTTACACATTCATGGACATACATAAGAGTAGGCTCTGTCACCCATTGTGTGGAACCTCATCTTAGGTAGAATAAGAAGATCAAAATGAGATGATCTCTGATTCAATATTGGACTATAGTCAGAAATAAATCTTTAGGTAAACTGGATCTTATATTATATCATCATATATTATATGGAAGATATACAGTAAGATCTTATATTATTAGCATCTTATATGGAAACAGACAAACCTTAACATCCACTGTAATTTTCACAGAGAGCCAGTGCAATTTACATAGGACATGCTATATGTTGAGGCAGAGAAGAATTCTGTTGACACAAGAGCCACAGAATTCTAGACATACTGAAGCTTGTCAAGTGTCTTAGCAGATAAGTACAGTAAGTATTGTCTGATTTTTTCAGCATCAGATAGCACAAGGGAAATGCTATGCCAATGGACAAAAGATGGGATAGTGATGTTCCATCTTGAATTCTGCATAACAGCACAGGGGGGAAAATAAGATCAAGTTTTTGGTTTTTATTGTTTTTTCAAACAAGTTTATTGACAAAAAAACACAAGAAAATAATGCATCTTATCCATCTATCTCAGTGTTGCTTGTCTCGGAATTTTTACCCTTAAAATACAGTCAAACATAAAATATAACTGAAGTAATGGGTTTTATTCCAGCACCATCAAGAGCGGTATTGAAATCGCAACTGTAAAGTGCAGAAACCCCTACAGCATTATCTGCTTGTCTGCAAGAGTGTCACCAATGTACTGTAGCATTGAAACCCATCTCTGACTTTGAATACTCTAACCAAGAGGCAGAGGCAACATGTGCAACATATTCTAAACAGTAAAAGTCCCAGCACAGAACCCTGGGGGACACCCCAAGTAACCAGGATCTCAACAGATTTAAAACCATCAAGATTTACGAATGGTCTCTTAATAGGGTGGGAAACTTTTGTTTTGAAGTTAAACAAATTGCAAATAGCCAATGTGTTAGTAATGGTTCCGTATTTATTTCTCTGTTAAACCTTTATAAACTTAAATATGATACATATTCATAGGATTTATCCCATTTAAACATCACAAAAGTAAAATCAGGTACTGTATGTTGACATGCTTTTTACATGCTTGTTCTCCTAGGTAGAATTAAAAACTTTATAGGATCCCAGTTTTACATGACATATACACTGTATGAGATTTTGGTTATATAATCTTGATGCTTGAAGTGTAAAGTCTTTGCACTTTTCCTGCAGAACATAATAAAGTATTTTATATTTGGTTTCTGAACTATTTCATAAAGATTGGCATTTTCCTGAATACTGTTGCATGCCCTTTTACGTATCTACCACATTTGGTGAACCATAACAAATTAATTGGTTACGATGGCTGATTATACATCCGTTTCTCTTAGCAGATTTAGAAAGGTTGAATGTCATATGTGAACAAGGATGCCCTTTATATAGTGGTTGAAGAAAATCTAATTAGGAGATTTGCTCTGAATGTTTTTTCACCTCTGAATTATTTTACTTGAGAACCTGGATTATTTCAAAACTGCTTTGGCTCTTTTTTGATGGCTAAACTCAATAGTAGGATTATATTGTTATCTGCTAAATTTCTGTTCTTACTGGATTAGGTTTTATGGCCTTTATCAAGTGAGGACTGTAAGAGCAGTGTCAGTGTTGAAGGAATTAATCAATTTAAACCAAATTAAGATCTGGCACATAACTGTGAAGTGGCTGTTCCTCAATTTTTCTTGTACTAATAGCAATATTAATAATAGTACTGTCTCCTCTTTAATCATATTAAACAGCATG